TAATGACATAATGACCTATCGCAATATGCCGGTATAACAAAAATCTCTACCGTGGGCCAAATTTATACCGTCTACCGCTTATACCGTTTATACCGCCCAGCCCTATTATATATATATTTTTTTTGTTACGCTATTTAAAACATGCATCGTCTAGTGCCGCCGCAGCGGTCAATTTGACAGCGGGGAGGGGGGTTTAAAATGTGGCGGCCCTTCGTAACTCTCACTCAAGCTACGCGTCTCTCCCACATACAGAGACCTACACACACACAGCCCCTCCCCTTCGTGCACACCGCGTGTCTCCGTCTCCATCAGCGATCATCGCTGTAAGCAGCTGTGTCTATTAATTTTGGTGCAGAGAAGACGGCTGGTGAAGTTCACTAAAGGTTGGTATCCCGTGATCTCGTAAATCACACATTAAAAAGTGCTGAATGTTCAGTGTCAATGTTGAATTTCCGTCCCGACTCCCTTAACAAGCGATGACGCTTTCTTTATAAAGTTAATTAGTCGCAAGTTTGCGGTATGTAGTTGGGTTGTCGGGGTCATTTAGCAGCTGTAGCAAGAAATAAAGTTATAAGTAACGTTATGTCATGTTTTTACTCTTACACTGAATGTTTGCTGCTTCAATCCAGATGAGTATTGAACAATATTTTCCGCGATTGAAAAAGACACGCGTTGAGGATCAGCCTGAACCAGAGGTATCGGTCTGAAACAGTCCGCAGTGTAATTAGCTATATAAGTTGTTTACAATATTTTCAGGCTTCAACCAGTGCTGCTCAAGCAGAAAGACAGGGTCAGGGAGAGAACGAGATAGAATTGATTATATTCAATATTATATTCAAGGTCAGTGAATTGACCTGACACACACACACACACACACACACCCTTATTTTTCAAGAACAAGAACCAGGAGGAGCTCTTGTGTTTACTGGCAAGTGAGTTTGATGAGTGGGCCAACCTCTACCCCTGCCTGAGCCTTCTGGCAAGCATTGCTTTGGTTATCCCTGTTTCCTCTGTGAACTGTGAACGGGATTTCTCTGCAATGAACAGGGTAATAGCAATAAAAAATTCCCATTGTCTTTATATTGGTGCATTTTGCATTGATAATAATTTATCATTTTGCTTCATCTCCAGGTGAAAACAGACCTCAGGAACAAACTGCAAGGAGAACACCTGGCAGCTTGCTTGAGGATCTCCATCAATGGACCCTGTCCTGAGGACTTCCCTTATGATATGGCATTAAAATCTTTTTTTCGCCAGCCCCGAAAAATCAGGTGCTCTGATAAAACATGCAAACTTTGCAACAAGTAGGTTTATACAGCGTTAACAGTATTTATAGTGTGATATAGTGTTTATACAGCGTGTGAATAATGTTATTTTTTGCAACAAGTAGGTTTATACAGCGTTAACAGTATTTATAGTGTAATATAGTGTTTATACAGCGTGTGAATAATGTTTGATATTTTGATCAGTCCAATAAAGCTGTATTTGACCAATTAACGATGTCATTGTTAATTTTTGCCTGCCGGCCGACATAATAATGATGTAATTTTGTTGACTTGGCACTAGTGGATAACTATTCAATAAAGTATTAATTCGCAGCACTGAGAGGAAACTACCTTGTGCTTTCAGTAATGTCTTCCAAATGAACTGGCTTTTCATCAAAACCTTTAGCTGACAGACCAAAAACGCACATGCTAAGCTTCAACCTAACCACGCCGTATCATCCTCCTAGCATGCTTAACAATGCTAAACAAGTTAGCGTTAACTCTCGTGGTACTCTGTACATGTAAACAAAGCGCTTTCTGAACATGCAAGTCAGCAATATATTAGGAAAATGTCGACCAAACTTACCAAACAACTTTGCACGTGCGAGTGAGAGCGGTGAGAAAGCAACGCATGTGACCAGTGTTGCCAACTCCTCAGTAAGGAAAGTAGCTATTGGCTGTCCCAAAAGTCGCTAGAAGTCGCTAAATGACGTCATCGTCTAATTTGCATAATTTGCCATTTGCAAATAACTGTAACGGACGCTGTAGGAGAGAGGAATAAGGTCGTGGGAGAGACAAAAGTGAGTAAAAACACCCTAAATATGTTTAGAACTACAAATGTACAAAAATAATTTCAACATTAACAACATTTAATGATTTTAATGCTTTGTCTAGATCCACATTACACACATCAGTTTTGTCCTGTATTGTTAAATGTTATAACAGCAAATGTAATCAAAAGATTGTTATGTAGGGTGAAATTGCTAGCTCTACAACCAACCCTCCTCCTTTATCCGGGCTTGGGACCGGCAAAGTGACCCAAAAGACACACTCTGGCAGAGTTACTTAGGTTTATTTTTGTAAGTTATTTTTTTTTTTCATAGTTTGGCATAACAAATGATTTAATGTGACCCACTACTGAGAGAAAACAGAGTCACGGACAGAGCTGCCGCGGATGGAGTGGGGGGTAGTGGGGGGTGGCGGTGGTAGGAGTGGCCGGGGAGCTTTGGATGTGTGGTGGTGGTGGAGCTGAAGTTCAGTCTGCAGCAGCCTGAAAACTTCCTGTGCTTTTGAGTCTCCTCTCTCTCTCTCTGCTCCGCCCATAGACTGTAGCTGGGACTGCTGCGCAAGGCTACTGTGAGACTGGCCGCCTGTAAGTGCTTTGGGACGGGGGAGGGGCTCACGTTGAGGACAGCAGAACAATACGTGCTTCACGAGTCTCCAAAACACCAGATAAGTCGCCAAAACACCAGATAAGTCGCCAAAACACCAGATAAGTCGCCAAAACACCAGATAAGTCGCCAAAACACCAGATAAGTCGCCAATAACACCAGAAAAAGTCGCTAGATTTGTCGCTAGTCGCTTTTTTGAAAAAAAGTCGCTATAGGGGTCTGAAAAGTCGCTAAATCTAGCGACAAAGTCGCTAAGTTGGCAACACTGCATGTGACTAGCTGGGGAGCCGTGTGCCTGCTGTCTGACGGCGCATGCGCACTTGGGTTAGCTTTAGTCTGGGCTCCGCCCCTCCAAGACAAATTCAAAACATTCTTAGTTATCTCTGCTTAACAAGATCATTACAGTTGATTTTTTGGTTTGTTTAGTAGAATCAACTGATTATATGTATTATTTACATACCTTTTTACAAAACAAAAAAACATTAATTATGATTACTAAAAAGTTTTATTACAATCATTATCAGGGCTAAGAGTATACTTGAAGCTGTCCACCAGCTCAATGTCCTCCCCCTGGATGTTCAGCAACGTGTGGGAAAGTGGTTTCCTCCTGAAATCGATCACCATCTCCTTGGTCTTACTGGTGTTCAAGCACAAGTGGTTGCGCTCACACCAGTCGACAAAGTCCTTGATAACCGACCGATATTCCAGATTGTTCCCCTCAGACACACAGCCCTCGATGGCGGAGTGACAGCTTCTGCAGGTGACAGCTGTGTGTGTCGTGTGTGAAGTCTGAAGTGTAGATGGTGAAGAGAAACGGTGAGAGGACAGTGCCCTGAGGGGCCCCAGTGCTGCAGACTACCACCTCAGACTCACAGCTGCAGCCGCACGTACTGTGGTCGGTCCGAGAGGTAGTTGATGGTCCATGCAGTGAGGCTACTGTCCACTCCCGCGTCCTCAATCTTCCCCCGCAGCAGTGCCGGTCTGATGGTGTTGAAAGCACTGGAGAAGTCGAAGAACATGACCCTCACAGCGCTCCCGGCGGGCTCCAGGTGGGAGAGCGTCCGCTGCAGGAAGTAGATGACGGCGTCCTCTACTCCGATGTTGGGCCTGTAGGCGAACTGCAGCGGGTCCAGGGTGGGGCTGACCACGGAGCGGAGATGGGTGAGGATGAGCCGCTCCATGGTCTTCATCAGGTGGGAGGTCAGTGCGACAGGTCTGTAGTGAGCCGGTTCCTTGGCGTGTGCTGTTTTAGGAACCGGGATCACACAGGAGGTCTTCCACAGGACAGGGACCTTCTCCAGGCTGAGGCTCAGGTTGTACATGTAGCTGAGGACCCCAAGGAGCTGGTCTGCACAGGTCCTCAGCAGCCTGGGACTGATCCCGTCCGGTCCTGCGGATTTCCTCTGCTTCAGTCGCTGGAGCTGACTCCTCACCTGGTCCGGTGTGATGGAGATGGGGGGGGGGGACTGGGGTGTACTGTCCGAGGTGGGAGCAGGAGGGCCCGGGGCAGCCGGAGGCAGTGTCCACTGGCCGGTGTCCACTGGGCTGGGGACGTGTGAAGAGGTGGGGGCGGGAGGGGGGGCAGATGGAGGCCAGTCCCTGTGCTCTTCAGAGTCCCAGCAGGAGGCCAGTCCCTGTGCTCCTCAGAGTCCCAGCAGGAGGCCAGTCCCTGTGCTCCTCAGAGTCCCATAGGCCAGTCCCTGTGCTCCTCAGAGTCCCAGCAGGAGGCCAGTCCCTGTGCTCCTCAGAGTCCCAGCAGGAGGCCAGTCCCTGTGCTCCTCAGAGTTCCAGCAGGAGACCAGTCCCTGTGCTCCTCAGAGTCCCAGCAGGAGGCCAGTCCCTGTGCTCCTCAGAGTCAGGAGGCCAGTCCCTGTGCTCCTCAGAGTCAGGAGGCCAGTCCCTGTGCTCCTCAGAGTCTGAGTTAGTCCCTAAGGCACTACACTGCATAAAACTATGAATTAAAGCTAAACGTATGTTAATTTGAGCACATTCTGACTGAGCCTTAAAACAAGATTTGCTGTTTTAAAAATATACAAGAAATGTTGTTGAGATGAGACTAAACTCCTTCGTCCCGTTGGAGAATCTTGTTTTAGGACAAAACCACTTGATTCAAGCATTATTTATTTCCTCATAGTTTATATATTTTTACAGTGTAACATGTCACAGGCGTTGGTGTGAGACCCAGAGGGGACTTGAACACACACTGACACTGTTGATTCTAATGTTTTATGCTAATGTCAGGAGCTGCTCTGCTGTGTTAAACAGTGCGCCTCGTCCACCTCCGACTACTGCACCGACACCATCGTCCAGACCTGCTCCGTCACTGACAACGCCTGTGGAACCGTCATGGCCAGGCACACAGCCAGTGAGTCTCAACACAACCACACACCTGAACACAACCACACACCTGAACACACCTGAACACAACACAACCACACACCTCAACACAACCACACACCTGAACACAACCACACACCTCAACACAACCACACACCTCAACACAACCACACACCTCAACACAACCACACACCTGAACACACCTGGAACACAACACAACCACACACCTCAACACAACCACACACCTGAACACAACCACACACCTCAACACAACCACACACCTCAACACAACCACACACCTGAACACAACCACACACCTGAACACAACCACACACCTGAACACAACCACACACCTCAACACAACCACACACCTGAACACAACCACACACCTGAACACAACCACACACCTGAACACAACCACACACCTGAACACAACACAACCACACACCTCAACACAACCACACACCTGAACACAACCACACACCTGAACACAACCACACACCTCAACACAACCACACACCTCAACACAACCTTAACACAACACAACCACACACCTCAACACAACCACACATCTGAACACAACCACACACCTCAACACGACCACACACCTGAACACAACCACACACCTCAACACAACCACACACCTCAACACAACCTTAACACAACCACACACTTGAACACAACCACACACCTGAACACAACCACACACCTCAACACAACCTTAACACAACCACACACTTGAACACAACCACACACCTGAACACAACCACACACCTGAACACAACCACACACCTCAACACAACCACACACCTGAACACAACCACACACAACCACACACCTGAACACAACCACACACCTCAACACAACCACACACCTCAACACAACCACACACCTCAACACAACCACACACCTCAACACAACCACACACCTGAACACAACCAAACACCTGAACACAACCACACACCTGAACACAACCACACACCTCAACACAACCACACACAACCACACACCTGAACACAACCACACACCTCAACACAACCACACACCTCAACACAACCACACACCTCAACACAACCACACACCTGAACACAACCAAACACCTGAACACAACCACACACCTGAACACAATCACACACCTCAACACAACACAATCACACACCTCAACATAACCACACACCTGAACACAACCACACACCTGAACACAACCACACACCTGAACACAACACAACCACACACCTCAACACAACCACACACCTGAACACAACCAAACACCTGAACACAACCACACACCTGAACACAACCACACACCTCAACACAACCACACACAACCACACACCTGAACACAACCACACACCTCAACACAACCACACACCTCAACACAACCACACACCTGAACACAACCAAACACCTGAACACAACCACACACCTGAACACAATCACACACCTCAACACAACACAATCACACACCTCAACACAACCACACACCTGAACACAACCACACACCTGAACACAACCACACACCTGAACACAACACAACCACACACCTCAACACAACCACACACCTCAACACAACCACACACCTGAACACAACACAACCACACACCTGAACACAACCACACACCTGAACACAATCACACACCTGAACACAACACAACCACACACCTCAACACAATCACACACCTGAACACAACACAACCACACACCTCAACACAACCACACACCTGAACACAACACAACCACACACCTCAACACAACCACACACCTCAACACAACCACACACTTCAACACAACCACACACCTGAACACAACACAACCACACACCTGAACACAACCAAACACCTGAACACAACCACACACCTGAACACAATCACACACCTCAACACAACACAATCACACACCTCAACACAACCACACACCTGAACACAACCACACACCTGAACACAACCACACACCTCAACACAACACAACCACACACCTCAACACAACCACACACCTCAACACAACCACACACCTGAACACAACACAACCACACACCTGAACACAACCACACACCTGAACACAACACAACCACACACCTCAACACAATCACACACCTGAACACAACACAACCACACACCTCAACACAACCACACACCTGAACACAACACAACCACACACCTCAACACAACCACACACCTCAACACAACCACACACTTCAACACAACCACACACCTGAACACAACACAACCACACACCTGAACACAACCAGTCCGTGAGTCTGAGTTTTTAGTCCAGGTAAAATATAACTGCTCGTCGCAGCAGCAGGAGAACGCTCCGTTGATTTGAATGTAATTTAAAAACGTTCTACGGTCATTATTTCTTGATAACCGACCTCTCTAAACAATAATGACCGCTGCCCTTTGGCAACACACTCTCTGCTTGTAATTCAGATGTGTAGATTACTCCGCAAGTAGTTCCGGCCACTTCGTCGCTTCTACTGTCTCTGCAGAGAAGCCATCGGAGCTAGCCACGCTCAATAACATGTATTACAATCAATAACATGTTTAAAAGTAAATGGGAGAATACATTACACACATTCTTCACACACAGAGGTTCTCAGGATTTTCACATTCTTCACACATGTGCACGGAGGGTTTCAGGATCATCACGTTTTCATGTCAAAAATACTGTTTTAATGCGACAAAAATCGATCGCCGTAAACCCGGAAGTAACTATTTACATTATCTGATTATGGATCTTTGTGTGGTGCAGAGTTCTCGATCCGCGGCTGCATGAACATGACCGAGTGCCGGGGCTGGATCAAATTGCCGCACGCTTACGGCGTCTGCTGCGCCACGGACCTCTGCAACTGACGAGAAACGAACCCATGAGTGATAAAACAGTCTCACATGTGGTCGCAGCCGTCGTGTTCTGGAGGATTCAAATCAATAAAGCATTCAAAATTATTCTGCGTTTAATCTCTGTCTACTACTGTACACTGTTTATCAATAAGTACTTTGGACACATGCTAATCCCCTGGTTCAATGAAGCCCAATAGGGAAGTGCTCATGGAGGGAGTTTTGGTCCATCTTGCTGTGGCTCCGATTGATCTACATTGAAAAGTAAATTCTAGCTCAGTAGCTGCTTGTGTCAAACTCACCAATTTGGGCTCTAAATATTGTAATAGCCAAATAAGCATTGACCAATCAGAGGCCTTCGTTTGCAACACCTGGTTACAGTGTGAAGGGAAATTGGTTTCAGCTAGCTTATGTTCAGTCCACTGCTAACAAACGCTCTGTGTGCAGTAATAATAGAAGAAACAGAAGTTTCTTAGTTAAAAATACATGATGTTTACGATTTTCAAGCAGATCATCCAATCAGCGAGCAGCATTTGGGTTGCACACAGTTTGCATCGTTTCTAGCTAAGCCCCAGCAGGTGGGGTGCATCTGTAACCAGTGTTTGGGAGCTACATGTAATTCTACTGACTTTATTTATTTTATTATGATTATTTCATTGCCCTTTAATAAACCAGGAGAGTCCCACTGAGTCCAGACGAGAGGGGGCGGACGTGGGGTCAGGGAGGGTAGTGGTAGGCCAAACCGGAGCACCTGGAGGACACCTACGCAGACACAGGGACAACAGGCAAACTCCACACAGAAAGGCCTGGAGGTGGAATCAAACCCAAGACCTTCTGGTGAGACCATGATCTCATACTGTCCTCTTTAAGTGACCACAGGACACATCCACAAATGAGAAAGTTAGTCATAAAGGCGTTTTCTGTAAATAAACCGTAATGTTGGTGGTTAGTGTGAAGCGGCGAGTGTGTGCGTGCCTCAGCCTGGTGTTTGGACACAGTCTGATCTGCAGTTTCACAATCCAGGAATTTCCCATCAACCATTGCTGCAACATTGAAGAAGGGGAAGGTGCAGGTCGTTCTCTGCTCCCACAATCGAGAGAGACATAACGAATCAGGCAAGTTCAAATATGTTTATACTAAATCTTTCATATGTAATTCATAATGGTATAAAAGTGCAGTGTATTTAGACCAAACCTACTTTGGGTTGAGAAGAACAAACCAAAACACGACACATGTGTAGCATTTACTCACTTTCTGGAATGGAAGCTGGCTTTGACACAATTACCCACAATCCTTTTAGTCACATCTGTGTTTGTTTGTTTTTTTAATACGCAGACAAAATGATGAACGCTGTTGTGTGTGCTGTTCTCTTCGTGCTGGCACTGAGTCCAGGTATGTTTAATTATCTATTTTTTCACAACTATGCGTCAGAAATATCTAAACACAAGATTCTACAGTCTTTCTGAAAATGTGAGACAGGCTTCTTATAAATGTGCAAACAGCTGAAGGATTGCTCTTTTTAACGTACGATTATTTATGATTTGAATGTGTTTTAATGACAGATGTGTTGTCTGTGTATGAACGGTGCTATCCAAATAAACTTGTCTTTGTGATGATCCTTCTGCAGGCGAAGGGTTAAAGTGCAAGTCCTGTTACTCCAAAGGGACGGATCTGTGTGAGCAGACCAGCGTCCAGATCTGCTCCGTGCTGGATAACGCCTGCGGAGACGTCATCATCACGCAACCCGCTCGTGAGTCTGCGCCACAGACAAACGCAAACGTGACTCTCCACAGACACATTAGCATTAGCATTAGCATGGTGTGACAGCCGGAGAAGCAGAAGCTCAAAGTGCACAAATACAGCAGTGATAGAAGGTGCTAAAGATTCACACGTCAGTCGCGCTTTAGTCAGAAGAGCATTGGGGCCAAGTCAGAGCCCTGGGGCCCCCCTCAGTGACCGGGCAGTTGTTTAAGATAGACACATCACATAAGGTAACAAAATAAACTGCAATAATCACAGCACGGTGGCTGAGTGGATAGAACAGGGCCTTTCTGAGTGGAGTTTGCATGTTCTCCCCGTGTCTGTGTAGGTTTCCTCCAGGTGCTCCGGTTTCCCCTACCACTAAAAACATGTGCAATAGGTCTGTGCCTCCTGTACTGGCCCCTCCCATCTCTGTGTGGGGTCACAGACTAATGCCCACAGTTATAAACCGCTTTGACTCTGGTCTGTGAAAGGCGCTATATAAATAATATTACTTACTTACACAGTGCATTAAAAAGCCTCAGTTTTAACCTAGATTTGAAGATTGAGCAGAAGCCGGTCTCACACAAACACACACTCAGTAGTTTGATTCATATTTGTGTGTGTTATAAAATCACTGAAGTCCCTTGTGCCTGGCCCTTGCAGAGTACTCGTTCCGCTCCTGCATGAACATGGCGGTGTGTCAGGGCTGGATCACGACCCCAGGAGCCTTCGCCACCTGCTGCAGCACCGACCTCTGCAACTAAGCACCACAGCGCCCCCTGCAGCCTGCATCACGCCGTGCACACTAAGAATAGTAGTGTGTGTTGAATGGGTGACTGTTTCGGATGCTGACATAAATATATCTTCAAAAAGCTTGTGTTGTAGGCTGTGTGGTGCTCCCATGGATGCAGTAAAACTTTGATAAACCAACAGATTAGAAATTTGTGTATCAGGGACAAGCTCTGCACCAAAACTCAGTACCATAAACACACTAATGTTTTTGTATGTTGTATGTGTTTACGTTCTTCACAGGAATCTAAATGTCACGATTGTTCTGTTCTGAGAGAGTTGTGTAGAACCATTTCAAAGACACCGGTCCGTTTACGTAATTAGTTCCTGTAGATATTTATATTTTCTCTGGGTTTGTGTGTGTCTTGTTTTACTGCATGTCATGATTTTCTTTTAATAAATTGTTGTAACAAACCCGAGCATTATTCAGAAGGTCTTTGACAAACTCCCCATGACCTGAGCCAGAGCTGCCACTTTACGACAGTTTGGGGCGAGTCAAAGAAGAATGCAGTGGTCTAGAAATAAGGAGTGGGAGGCACGGTGGCTGAGTGGTTAGCACTCGAGCTGCTCAGCAAGAAGATCCTGGGTTTGAATCCCGGTCGGAACAGGGCCTTTCTGAGTGGAGTTTGCATGTTCTCCCCGTGTCTGTGTAGGTGTCCTCCAGGTGCTCCAGTTTCCCTTACCACTGAAAACTTGTACAACAGGTCTCTGTGCCTCCTGTACTGGCCCCTCCCATCTCTGTGTGGAGTCACAGACTAATGCCCACAATTGTAAACCGCTTTGTGACTCTGGTCTGTGAAAGGCGCTATATAAATAAATATTACTTACTTACAAACTATCCCTCTATAGAGAGCGGTTCAAATATGTGAAGAGGAAAGTTTCCCCTCAGTACTGATGCATATTGTGCATAACAGTTTAAAGGAATTGCATCTAAAGTATTAATGATACAGATTCTAGTCCATAGCATCTCTTCAGGTACTGTCGAGTAAGCTACAGGCACACCCCCAGTCCCAGTCCCAGTCCCAGTCCAAGTCCAAGTCTAGTCTAGTCTAGTCTAGTCCCAGTCTAGTCTAGTCTATTGACCAGTGAAAAAAGAGTATGTAGTAGTTGCAGCACATTATGCGGTGGAACTTCTCACAGAAATGATCTAAGAATCCTGTCAATGCCTGTGATCATCTTGGCCTCACCAAAGATCAATACTTTGAAGGTTAATCCAGTCTTTTCTACGACAAGCCTCTGTTGTTGTTGTTGCCAGGTAGTGATGCATTTCTATCAAACTCGTGCAACAGGTTTGAAGCTATAATTGTGCTCCTCCCTGTGTCTTTAAAACGCCGTGACATCTGAGTATCATCTGCTTCTGTTTGCTGCACTGAGCTCGGAGAAATGTTCAGCACCGTTTCAGGTACGAGCCCGGAGGAAAACACATCCCCTTTAAGACGTTCAGATTCATGATCATTCTTCTCCTGGTAACTCTAGGTGACAAGCACCCCTCTGGGTTCGACCTCACTGACTGCATCACCGGGGGAGACGACCACAAGAACGACCATCATGGAGGAGGCGACCACGACAAAGACGGCAGGTTAGAACACAGAAAATAACAGTTTGTTTTCTCTTGACTTGTCTGGGGTTTAGAAAGGTGAGGTGAGGTGAAGAAGAAGTCAGACCTGTTCTACCTCCATGCTTAATATGTATCTGTTAAATAAACCTTTACACATGAGTTTCTATGGCGGCTGTGAGAGTCGCTGCCGGTTGGAGCTGATGGCAAGAGGCCAGACTAAGATCCAAACCAGTTTCTTACTGACCACGCCTCCCGGTTCTCAACTTTCCCTACCGTCTTCTTGCAATCTGCTCACGTTGACAACTAATTATTTGTTTTGCGAAAATAACTTTTTCTCAGTTTTGCAACCTCCAGCTCCACTCGTCAGTCTTTGTCCCTCAGAGGGAAGTGTCCATGTCACATCACAGCAGAGTAAAAGAAGGAAAAAGGAGGTGGAACACATCAAACTAGATCTATAGTTGAAGTCAGTTGTGGAGAATGACTCTTTCCTTCACTCATCAAGCTGTCCAGAGGAGTCCAAACCGGTCCAGACCCAGCAGGAGCAGAGCAGCTCTGATAGAAACCTGCAGCCACAGCGGGCCTTTCTGGACCGGTTTGGACTCCTCTCCAGTACCCACAAAACCCGCCGCCTCAGCCTGGGCCTGTGATTCTGACCGTGCTCACTCTTTGGATCACTTTCACAGGAGAGACGACGACCACGGCCACAGTCGCAGTCTAGACCATCGAGACAAAGACCATGATGACCACGGCAAAGGCCACGATGACCACAGCAAAGACCACGATGACCACGGCAAAGGCCACGATGACCACGGCAAAGGCCACGATGACCACGGCAAAGACCGCGATGACCACGGCAAAGGCCACGATGACCACGGCAAAGGCCACGATGACCACGGCAAAGGCCACGATGACCACGGCAAAGGCCACGATGACCACGGCAAAGGCCACGATGACCACGGCAAAGACCGCGACCGACACGACAGAGAAAAAAGTCCAGATGCGAGGGACAGGGACCACCGTGACCGAGACCACAGCAAGGACCGCAATGATCGCCGAGAAAGAGACAGCTCCAAGGGCCGCCGCCGCAGGGACAACAGCGGGGGCCGTCAGAGAGACCACAGCGGAGGCCGGCGCAGTGGCAGTGGCAGTGGCAGTGGAGAGGACAGTGACGGGGGCCATGGTGAACGTGGCAAGGGCAGGCACAAGAAGCGTGGTCACGGTCACGGTCCCGGACACCCAGGACGAGGACACGGCAGAAAATGGTGAAAGGTCAAAGGTAAAGAGTTAGAGGTGGGGTTTCTGTTGTTCTGATCCAGACTGTCAACATGCATCCTCTGACTGTCCTGCAGGCCACAGCTGGAGCTCCTTTCTGCAGAGCCGTGGAGCTAAGTCCTGCTGAGGAAGACTGGAAGTGCCAAAATGCAAATAACAAAACTGCCGGATAATGTTTGTTCCAATTACTCATCAATAAACAAACTATGGTAATTTGTCGTTACATTTTTTACTGCTTTAGAATAGTTTAAAAGCTGCTGTCAATCAAATCCACTTGTTTTTAAGTAACACATTTCATAAAGTGCTGCACAAGGAAAGACTAGTTCAAACAAATGTGTATAAAACGGTACAATAAAAACATACTGTATATACAGTGCCTTGCGAAAGTATTCGGCCCCCTTGAACCTTTCAACATTTCGCCACATTTCAGGCTTCAAACATAAAGATATAAATAAAACATTTTTTGTCAAGAATCAACAACAAGTGGGACACAATCGTGAAGTGGAACAAAATTTATTGGTAATTTAAACTTTTTTAACAAATAAAAAACTGAAAAGTGGGGCGTGCAATATTATTCGGCCCCCTTGCGCTAATACTTTGTAGCGCCACCTTTTGCTGCAATTACAGCTGCAAGTCGCTTGGGGTATGTCTCTATCAGTTTTGCACATTGAGAGACTGGAATTCTTTCCCATTCTTCCTTGCAAAATAGCTCGAGCTCAGTGAGGTTGGATGGAGAGTGTTTGTGAACAGCAGTCTTCAGCTCTTTCCACAGATTCTTGATTGGATTCAGGTCTGGACTTTGACTTGGCCATTCTAACACCTGGATACGTCTATTTGTGAACCATTCCATTGTAGATTTGGCTTTATGTTTTGGATCATTGTCCTGTTGGAAGATAAATCTCCGTCCCAGTCTCAGGTCTTTTGCAGACTCCAACAGGTTTTCTTCCAGAATGTTCCTGTATTTGGCTCCATCCATCTTCCCATCAATTTTAGCCATCTTCCCTGTCCCTGCTGAAGAAAAGCAGGCCCAAAGCATGATGCTGCCACCACCATGTTTGACAGTGGGGATGGTGTGTTCAGGGTGATGAGCTGTGTTGCTTTTACACCAAACATATTGTTTTGCATTGTGGCCAAAAAGATCGATTTTGGTTTCATCTGACCAGAGCACCTTCTTCCACATGTTTGGTGTGTCTCCCAGGTGGCTTGTGGAACACTTTAAACGAGACTTTTTATGGATATCTTTGAGAAATGGCTTTCTTCTTGCCACTCTTCCATAAAGGCCAGATTTGTGCAGTGCACGACTGATTGTTGTCCTATGGACAGACTCTCCCACCTCAGCTGTAGTTATCTGCAGTTCATCCAGAGTGATCATGGGCCTCTTGGCTGCATCTCTGATCAGTCTTCTCCTTGTTTGAGATGAAAGTTTGGAGGGACGGCCGGGTCTTGGTAGATTTACAGTGGTCTGATACTCCTTCCATTTCAATATAATTGCTTGCACAGTGCTCCTTGAGACGTTTAAAGCTTGGGAAATCTTTTTGTATCCAAATCCGGCTTTAAACTTCTCCACAACAGTATCTCGGACCTGCCTGGTGTGTTCCTTTGTCTTCATGGTTCTCTCTGCGCTTTAAACAGAACCCTGAGACTATCAAAGAGCAGGTGCATTTATACGGAGACTTGATTACACACAGGTGCATTCTATTTATCATCATCAGTCATTTAGGACAACATTGGATCATTCAAAGATCCTCACTGAACTTCTGGACTGAGTTTGCTGCACTGAAAGTAAAGGGGCCCAAAAATATTGCACGCCCCACTTTTCAGTTTTTTTATTTGTTAAAAAAGTTTAAATTATCCAATAAATTTCGTTCCACTTCACGATTGTGTCCCACTTGTTGTTGATTCATGACAAAAAAATTTAAATTTTATATATTTATGTTTGAAGCCTGAAATGTGGCGAAATGTTGAAAGGTCCACGGTGCCGAATACTTTCGCAAGGCACTGTACACTCATACTGTATACATATAGACATAACAGTCAAGCAGGCCCTGTGCTCTGGGTTTAAGACCACAGAGAAGGCCCTGTGCTCTGGGTTTGAGACCACAGAGAAGGCCCTGTGCTCTGGGTTTAAGACCACAGAGAAGGCCCTGTGCTCTGGGTTTGAGACCACAGAGAAGGCCCTGTGCTCTGGGTTTAAGACCACAGAGAAGGCCCTGTTTCAGCTCTGGGTTTGAGACCACAGAGAAGGCCCTGTGCTCTGGGTTTGAGACCACAGAGAAGGCCCTGTGCTCTGGGTTTAAGACCACAGAGAAAGCCCTGTGCTCTGGGTATTTGAGACCACAGAGAAGGCCCTGTGCTCTGGGTTTGCCTGAGACCACAGAGTCGTGAAGTGGGAATTAACGACATGAAAACTTCAGCAGTCAGAAGTCACGAAGAAACATTTTATGGATCTGTTCCACCTCCTTCAATCCTCCGGATTATCTGTTTTTATTTCTGGTCCAATCCCGACTGTAAGCAGAGGCGACTGCCTCTACAGTCGTGTTGTGGCGCTGCATATGTGGATCCAGGCTACATGCAGCTCTTTTAACTTTGGCTTTGTGAATAACTTTGCCCTTTTCTGGAAACGTTACGAAGCCTATCGTCCAGACGGATTACACCCAAACAGATACGGTAGCAGCCTGTTGATGGACTACATGCGTTACGTTGTTCAGCGTTCCCGAGGGGGGCGTGACTGTTTACATCTGAGGCCCTCGGACCCCACCCCACCACTCCCCCGCCTCCTGCTCACCAGCACCGGGTGAGTACAACGGTGCAAACACTGCTCCCTGTCCGTCTGGCAGTGTATTACCAGTCCAAACACTGAATTGTGCTGACTCCCTTCTGATTCTGGGAGCTAAAGAACAACAAGGGTTTTCACATTTTAGGCCAATTGAGACTGTGTGTGTTCCTCGCACCAGCTCAAAAATGTTTTTAAATTCTAAAAAACGAAATCAAAACAGGACAGCAGTTAGACGGTCCAACTCTGCAAATCTAATTTCTGTTCCCTGTAGAAATCAATCAACCACATTAATCGACTCTGACGTTATTTTTAAACTTGCTATGCTTAATGTCAGATCTCTATGTAACAAATCATTTTTAATTAATAATTTTATCACTTCTTATGATCTTGATTTTATGCTTATGGCTGAAACATGGCTGGACCAAAATACAGGAAATGCAGTTCTAATAGAAGCAACACCACCCAATTTTAAATTCGAATCCGAAGTACGAGAAAACAAAAGGGGGGGAGGCATAGCTGCATTTTTTAGAGAGCACTTTGTCTCCCATAGAATGCCCCTTGGAAATTTTTCATCGTTTGAGTATATTTCTTTTAAAATGGAACAAAAGCAATCTTCTACTCTTTTCATTGTCCTGTACAGGCCACCACAGTCATGTTGCGATTTTATTGACCATTTTACTGAACTACTTTCATTCGTGTGCACAGATTTTGATAGTTTAGTTATTACAGGTGATTTTAATGTACATGTTGATAATGTTGATGACAGAAATGCAAAGGAGCTGGCTTCTGTATTTGAGACCTTTGGTTTCATTCAGCACGTGAGTGGCCCCACCCACAGCAGGGGGCACACTCTTGACCTGCTAATTACAAAGGGGGTTAATGTATCAAATGTTAATGTAGTTGATGTTGCTTTGTCAGATCATTTTTGTGTATTTTTTGACATGTGTTTTGCTAGCAAACCACCAGCTGAATTTACAATTGTTAGAAGAAGACACATACATGAAAACACAAGTGAACTGTTCATGGGAATGCTAAATTTTGAGAAAACTCCATGCTCTACTGTTGATGAATTGTATAACTCTGTCACCACCAGTGTTCTGACTGTTCTGGACGCCATTGCTCCTGTGACGGTTAAAATAGTTACCAGTAAGAAAAAGGCCCCATGGACTAAGGCAGACTCGGTCAGGGCACAGAAGCAAGAGTGCCGGAGGGCCGAACGGAAGTGGCGAAAGTCCAATTTCCAGGGCGATTATGAAATCTTTAAAGATGAGTTGGGTGAATTTAACCGGGTTCTACGTAGAAACAAGAGAAATGTATTTTTCTGACATTATTGGAGGTTGCAGTAACAATTTTTGTGTTATGTTTGCAACAGTTGGTAGATTAACGAACCCCCCTGTAAAGTTGCCCCTAGAATTTTCCTCTAAATCTAGGTGTAATGAGTTCGCACAGTTTTTCGATGACAAAGTACAAGGAATCAAAAACACTATCACCTCCACAGCACGTATAACAATGCAACAGCCAGAGAAGCTTGTTGAGCTAACTCACTTTGCACCTGTGGATACTGAAACTGTCAAAAAGATAATCATGAGTCTGAGCTCCTCCACATGTAGCCTGGATATATTGCCCTCTAAATTTCTGAAGTCCGTCCTGAGCAGTTTGTTACCTTCACTGACACAAATAGTAAACATGTCTCTGTCGTCAGGAACATTTCCTATGGCCCTAAAAACAGCAGTCATAAGACCTCTCCTAAAAAAGAGCAGTCTGGATCCTGCGGGACTTCAAAATTATCGCCCCATATTGAATCTACCATTCATTGGAAAAATTCTTGAAAAAGTGGCCTCCCAACAACTTACTGAATTTTTAACAATGAATAATTCTTTTGATATGCTCCAGTCTGGGTTTAGACCCCACCACAGTACTGAGACCGCTCTAGTGAAGGTAACAAACGACATTCGACTTCACACTGATGCAGGTAAAGTCACAGTTTTGGTCATGTTAGATCTTAGTGCCGCGTTCGACACTGTCGACCATGAGATCCTCATGCAGAGACTGGAGGACTGGGTTGGTGTCACTGGCACAGCCCTAGACTGGTTTAGGTCTTACCTGGAGGATAGGAAGTACTTTGTGGAGATTGGAGACTGCGTCTCAGATCATGTGGCCCTGACCTGTGGAGTACCACAGGGGTCGATCCTGGGACCTCTCCTATTTAATCTCTACATGCTGCCGTTAGGTCAGTTAATACAAAGAAACAAAGTGTCCTACCACAATTACGCCGACGACACTCAGATCTATGTCTCACTGACTGCAGGAGAACATGGACCACTGGATTTGCTCCTTCACT